CGCTGGTATTTTTCACGGTAAATGTGTTTTGGCTGTTCTCGGTCACGTATTTTCCATTTAGATTTGGAAATGGGAATCCAGTTTGTTTTTGAATTGGTGAAAAGTTACAGGTACAATAAAGAGATGTAGTTTTATTCTTCTTTAAGTGAAGTCTAACTTATCTAAAACTTGATACGGTTGTCTATTGTCGACCATTTCTTCTTCTAATTTCTTATTTACATTTAAAGAGGCATTCAAATAAGGTCCTAAACAAACGTACTACTAGCTACACGCCACACGAATATTTCACGAATAATGTGTAACGTTATTTTGAGTTTGTAACTATGTGCACATTGTGCTGTTGCAGGTCAGTTGGGAATGCAATTAGGTACAGTACAACAGTGCTCAGTGCATGTGAGATTGTAATTAAAGTCTGATGCCTCGGTTGCCGCATACTTATTATTTTTGTTCAGCTCAACTTGTTAGCAATTTGTATTGTTATGTTTTATGCACACTGTTTGTATTCTTAATTTAATAATTTTCATAGTCTTTCACAATCAGAAGCCTTAGTAGGAGACTAGTAAACATATTTACATGAACGAGTATGTCCTCTAGGTATGAATGATGCTGCAAAGCCACTATTAAGCTCAGATAGGGGTAATAAAAAAAAATATTACAAGTATTGAATTGCTAAATATATTTGCCAATTATTCAAGCCAAGCGTAATTTGGTGCGAATTCTAAAGCCTTCTAATTCAGTGGTTAAAATGTTGGAAACACTTCAACATTCAACGTTTAATTCAACTTGGATGTTGGCGTTGGACATTAAGGTGCGACCAACATTGGCCGCATTGGCTGGGTACTGACGAGCTAGCCTCATGGTGGGATATCTCGAACTTTTACACCAACATTTTAAACCCACAACAGAACTGTGGCAACACTGTGTCTAGATTTTTAAAAGTCAGTTACATTTTTATTTTTTTTAGCAATCCATCACTGTGTTGTTGGTCACTGTGGTCGCAATATTTCTGTGTTGTCCTGAGTCACGTTTACTGGTGCACCGCGGATGGTACCTGTGGTGTACCTCATCGGGTGCCGTCCCGAGCTCCACTGCGCCCCACCGGCAAGCCTCCCCAATTATAAGTTGGGCCAACACGCGATCCAACCTTGCCAGGTATCTGCCACATTTACATAAGTAATTTAAACTCGCTTTGGGGGTAATTTGAAAATAATTTGGTTGTATAAAGTTTTATAGCGAAATTATTTATGTATATTCGGTTTCTAAGGGTTTTGACGCACCCCGTCTTCGATTCTATCAGACTTGATCTGGTCTGTCTCGCAGACAGGACTGGGGAATCGGTTCAGGAATTTGAAAGAACTTTGTTTTTTTTTTTCTGAAGAGGTAGACTTTAAATAGATGAGACAAGAATTTTTGGGATTAAACAGACACAGATATAATTCACTGACTTTTTTCAAGTTATTACGAGTGTATTGGCATATTCGGATTCTGCACTTCGTTTTATAAATTAAAAAGCAATAGGTATACTATTTTTCAAGGTTCGGAATCGAACCTACTGTTTCATGCTTAGCAGAATTACTCCTTAGACCCTTAGTGTACGCGCAGAATGTGTAAAACTATTAAAGATATTTTTATTTTATTTATTTTATTTATTTTATTTTATTTTATTTATTTAGGTCAGCCAACGACTGTTTACACATCATTTTACAACAAATCGGTTTAGATACAATATTATGCATTTGCTAGTGTAACAATCAATTAAAGGCTAACACATCATGCTCAAGAGAATAGTTAGGTATTAGCCCAGGTATAAATTATTAAATTAAATTAAATTAATAAACATAAAACACAACTATTAAATTAACACAAAAATTAAATTATTAAACACAAATAATAGTTTCCCATAAACGGAAATCTATTTAAGGTGAACACACAATTAGAACAAACATAGGAAACAAC